GGCGCGCCTGGCACGCGTGGCGCACTTCGCCCCAGCGTCGCGCACAGGGGGTCGGTGCTGGTTTCCAGTAGCTCCCCATCCAAAAACGACCGCTCAGTGGGCCCCGGGAACGGCAGGGCCGTCTTTTCACCGTTTCCGAAAAGGTGTCCCTTGAAAATGGAAACGGCAACAAAAAACGGCGACCCGAAACGGCAACAAAAACGGCTCCAGGATTGGAACCGGAGCCGGAACCGGTCAAACAACGACGACGGAACCGGTAAAAGAACGGCGTCGGAACCGGCAACAAAATGGCAAAACGGAACCAGTAAAAAACGGCCCTGTCGTTTCCAGCGCCCACTAAGCAGCGACCGCCTACCATGCCCAGGCTCGGTCGGATGTTACGCATGTGTTGGGAGGGCGGGTGGGAGTAAGCTAGAAGGCTTGCTATCTGTGGGGTGTCTTGACCCCCCCCCCTCCCCCTTCCCTGGACCTGGACGGAGGGGGGGAGGGGCCGCGATCGGTTGGAGCGTCCAAAAAGGACTCGGCGAGAAGGCACAACTAATATATGCTACCAAGGTGTTGGGCCAATCTTGGCCTCCTTGGGGGGGGCGCTAGTTGAGGCCCCATCCCTTCCTTGACCGAACTTCTCCTAGATGGCCCCAGGTGGCCGCGAAGGCTCGCAAGAGTGCCCCAAGAGGACCCCAGAGGCGCCCCGCAAGAGAAGGACCCCGAGAGGCATCCAAGAGGCATCGTATGGCCTTTCTGCTCGCCCTCCTCTTCCTCCTCCTCCTCCTCCTCCTCCAGGCGGTCGCCATTCTTCCCCGCGCGGCCGACGCTCGGTGTTCGCTCCTCCCTCTCCTCTCCCTCCTCCTCCTCCGCATCCGCATAGTCCTCCTCGTCCCGCCTCCGTCCTCCCCACTCCGCGCTCTGAACTTGCCACTCTCTCCCCCCCCTCCCCCGATCCCTCCTCCAGCCTCTCCCCCTCTTGGGCCACGGCGCCTTCCCTCCCCGACCTCTTCTTCCACCGCAGTCTCCTCCACATCCCTGATCTTGGAGGCCTGGAAATGGGCACCAACACCAGCACAAGGGGGTTTGCCTCCACAGGGGGAAGATGATCCTAGATTTCGATGTTGGTGGTCATAGTTCGGTCCCCCTGGAAGCCAGGATATTACCACCATCATCGAGATGGGGATCTTCTTCCCTCGGTGGAGGCACACCGCCGATACTGGTGTTGGTGTCAACCTTTAGGTCTGCGATGGTCAGAGCAACTTCCTGGGAGTCGGCTCTGGCTGGTCTGGCGGGGCTACGCGAAGCGTCTAGGAGTAGGCCGGGCGTGTCCCCCTACGGGCAGATTTTTTGGAAAGCTAGAACATACCCCAAAAATATTCAGACAAGGATCACACACAAAAAAATCATCCCCAGACTATTGGCTGACTGCTTTGGAGTGTTCCTCCTGGAAGGGCACAGGCCCGACGTAAGTCGAGAACCTTTCCTCCGAGGCGGCGCACGCTGAGCGCACCCCGCCGCACACCACGCGGCCGCCCCCCGCCGCGCCCGAGGCGCGCCCGCGCGCGAATCTCGGGCTGGCAGCGCCCGCACGGGGCGCGGCGCTCGCCGAGCCAAACACGCGGCTCCCTCCCTCCCTCCCTCCTCCTCCCTCCTCCCTCCTCCCTCCTCCCTTCCCCCTCCTCCCTCCTCCCCTCCCCTCCTCCCTTCCCCCTCCTCCCTCCTCCCTCCCTCCCTCCTCCTCCCTCCTCCTCCACCCTTCCCCCTCCTCCCTCCTCCCTCCCCTCCTCCCTCACTCCTCTCTCCCCCCCTCCCTCCTCCTCCCTCCCTCCCTCCCCCCCCCTCCTCCTCCCTCCCTCCTCCCTCCTCTATTCTCCCTCCTCCCTCCTCCCTCCTCCCTCCCTCCCCTCCTCCCCTCCTCCTCCCCCCCCTCCTCCCTCCTCCCTCCTCCCTCCTCCCTCACTCCTCTCTCCCCCCTCCCTCCTCCCTCCTCCTCCTCCTCCTCCCTCCCTCCCTCCTCCCTCCTCCCTCCCCTCCTTCTCCCTCCTCCCTCCTCCCTCCTCTCTCCTCCCTCCTCTCTCCCCCCTCCCTCCTCCCTCCTTCCGCCGCCCACCTCCCACTCTCGGATCGGCGCTGGACTCCCCTCCCTGGCGCGCGGAGCGCGCAAGGAGAGGCACCGGTGGCGCCGCGGGGTGGGGGAGGCCCGGCACAGATCCAGGAAATCCGGGAGGACCTGCGCAAGTGTGTGTGTGTGTGATCAGGCAGACGTTTGCTCCTCCAAGCGTGCTCAGAGCTTCTTGAAGTGCAGCTTTGGGGCGGGGTGCCAGCTGGACATCCAGATGCCGATGCCGTGCGTCGTGCCGACCATCACGGCCAGGAGCACGCTCAGCACCGTGCGGAACTCGGAGCTGAAGCAGTTGTTCGGGCCGCGGCACTCCGCGGCGCCGAGCCAGCTGATGCCGCCGCTGGGCGTGCGTATCTCGTCCTCGAGGTCCACCTCCCGGCCGGGGTTGCATGCGTTCGCCTCGTCGGGGAACTGGAACGAGTCCCCGAGGCGGCCCTTCCACTCCAGCAGCTGCGGCCCCAGGAAGCACCCCCCGACGTTCCCGGTGGAGAACTCCTGGATGCCGGGCACATACATGCGGCTGGAGGTGTAGCTGTCGCAGTTCACCCGGAACACGCACGAGAGCGGGCTAGGGCCGCCCCAGAGCACACAGAGCAAGACGACAACGATGAGGAGGTAGCTGGCCGCGAGCGGGATGTTGCGCAGCGGGCTCACGCGGTGCTCGGCGCCGTGCGAGAAGATGAAGCACGCTGTCGGAAGCTGCATAGAGAGGAAGAAGAAGGCCACCCCGCACTCGAAGTTGTCCCCCTTCTTTTGCCACTCGTGCGAGGGCACCCCGAGCGCCACCGAGTCGTAGGGCCTGTAGAAGGGCTGCCGCCAAAGAGCGAACAGCGCAGCCGCGAAGCACGCGCCGTAGACGAGCGTCGGCACCAGGACCGTGGCAACGGTGCGCCAGCCGAGCAGCGCCGAGGTGGGTCGCAGCGCGGAGAGCCTGGGGCCCGGCCTGGCCAGGGTCATCGCCGCCACCATGACGGACCCGACGACGATGTCGGTGGAGATCCAGGTCCACTCCGAGAGGATCATGTTCCCGATGAAAATGCACGTGAACTTGGCGATGGGGATGGCCAGCGCGTAGACCATGAAGTACATGTACGTGGCCAGGTTGGTCGCCAGGGTGGCCCGCCCGTACCTCCCGGCGGTGGACAAACCTCCCTTTAGAAAACCTCCCCGTTGTGAAAACGACCTACGTAGGACCGAAACCGACGGACCTGGACCCGCAAAAATGACGGCCAATTCACTAATCGACCGAAAAAACGTCGGCTAATTCACTAATCGACCGAAAAAAATGACGGACTGGACCCGCAAAAATGACGGCCCGCAAAAATGACGACCTAGGACCGAAACCCGGACCTGGACCCACGACGCCCTCTCGCGAACCGAAATCGGCCAATTCACTAATTGACGTGTCAGGGCAGGAGGTCTATCAACCCCCGGGACCTCAGCAGGTCCGGCACGGCCCGCAGAGAGATGGAACCGGTCCCGTGCTCCTCGCGGCTGGAGAAGGGTGCGACAATGGATGATGGGCCTGTTTTCCACCACTACCACCATGAGTTGGAGAGGGAAGGGGTCATCCTCCTCCTCCTCCTCCTCCACCTCCTCCTCTTCGTCCTCCTCCTCTTCGTCCTCCTTCTCCTCCTCCTCCTCCTCCTCTCCTCCTCCTCCTCCTCCTCCTCCTCCTCCTCCTCCTCCTCCTCCTCCTCCTCCTCCTCCTCCTCCTCCCTTCCCCCCATCCAACTCATGGTGGTGGTGGTGGAACACAGGCCCATCAATGGACGCCTCTGCCTCGGAGAGGGCGATGCCGACGTGCGCAGCCCGCAGCGCCCCGCAGTCGTTGCCGCCGTCGCCGACCATGCCCACGACCAGGCCTCGCTCCTGGTGCAGCTGGATCACGGCCACCTTTGGGACGCACAGGGACATACTAATACTACATGTCCTCCTTGGGGGGCGCGCGTCCGACCCGAACACAAGGTCTACCCATCTTGTGGTATATAGTTTCCCGAGCGGTGTGACCAGAAAGCGCCCGCCACGACGCATATACTATAAGATTTCTCGGTGCGCGCGTCGCCCCTGGGGGGGCGACGCACACATAGTATAAATATGTTGGGGTGACGCCGAACCTTGTCTTCCGGCTTCATGCGCGCGTAGATCCTGACTCTGTCCAGGACCTGCGGCGCCTCCCCGCTGTCCTGCAGGTGCTTGAAGGCAGGCTTCGTGAGCACAAGATCCACCTCCCCTGGGTCGCTCGCGAGCACGTCTGCGTGGCTCCACTGCTCGCCCTCCGGCTGAGACGTCCACCGCAGCCCCGGCTCGCCCCGCGTGTCTCCGTCCCGAGCATCCACGACGTCTCCGAGCAGCACGCGGGCGTCGAGCATGCCGCAGCGACGGCCGATGGCAATGCCGGTGAGGGCATTGTCTCCCGTGCACATGACGCACCGAACGCCGCCGGCCTTCAACTCCGCTAGCGCGTCCGGGCTGTCCACCTTCATCTCGTTGCGGAAGAGAAGCAAGCCGACCAGGCTAAGGCCAGCCTCCAGCTCGTCGCGAGAGGTCGTGGAGCTGTTCGAGGAACAAACAACGGGATGGACATAAACTTTTGGAGATCCGCGTGTAGCTCCAAAAGTTTATGCTTGTGCCGCTCTTTCTTCTTCGATCTGTAGTTGGTGACCTCCTTCATGCCCACGCCCAGGACGTAGTACTGGTCAGCAGCATGCTGCTCAGTGACAGCCCTAAAATCCGCGGGCAGCGAATTCCCCGACGCCGAGACGAGGGCGGCGATCTTTTCGTACGAGCCCTTCACAAGCGCCACCTTGCGCCCGAGCGAGGGCAGCTCCAGCACGCTGCCACTGGTCATGCGCACGTGGTCGAACTCCAGCCGACGAAGGATCCGCAT